CGTCCAGTAGTTGGTTAGTCGGCCTGTAAAATAATCGTAACCTAAAGTGCTTGATTATTCTTACTGTGCTTTTTTAATCAAAGGCGGTTGGTATGTTTCTTTGTGGTTAAGCAGCGAAGCTACGATATTTTCTTTCAGCCCTTCACATCCTTTTTCGCAAAGCCTTGATTAGTTACAGTTTACGACATGCTTGTGGGTTCTCCTTCTTCTGCGGTCTATCCCCCAATGGAGCATAGGCCCACAACCAACGCACTCCAATTCTTCCGATCTTTTGCCTTCGTATGCGGCCCACTCCATGACCTAGCTGTCTTTTCCACTTCATTACACTAGTTCTCCTATCTATCTATCTATCTATCTATCTATCTATCTATCTATCTATCTATCTATCTATCTATCTATCTATCTATCTATCTATCTATCTATCTATCTATCTATCTATCTATCTATCTATCTATCTATCTATCTATCTATCTATCTATCTATCTATCTATCTATCTATCTATCTATCTATCTATCTATCTATCTATCTATCTATCTATCTATCTATCTATCTATCTATCTATCTATCTATCTATCTATCTATCTATCTATCTATCTATCTATCTATCTATCTATCTATCCATCTATCCATCTATCTATCTATCCATCCATCCATCCATCCATCCATCCATCCATCCATCCATCCATCCATCCATCCATCCATCCATCCATCCATCCATCCATCCATCCATCCATCCATCCATCTATCTATCTATCCATCCATCTATCTATCTATCTATCTATCTATCTATCTATCTATCTATCTATCTATCTATCTATCTATCTATCTATCTATCTATCTATCTATCTATCTATCTATCTATCTATCTATCTATCTATCTATCTATCTATCTATCTATCTATCTATCTATCTATCTATCTATCTATCTATCTATCTATCTATCTATCTATCTATCTATCTATGAGTGTATTTATGTTTATTCAACGGTTCAACATTATGGCACACGGGTGCAACCCATAAGTGCTCCGTTCTACTTCTAACTCATGGTGGAGTCTGAAGAATCTCAGCGCAGTGCACGAACTCTGTTGCACCGGCGAGGATCTTGAAATAATGAGTAAGAGCCTATAAGTAAGTACAGATCCCTTTCATATCTGTGTTTGGTTAGTCCTCAGGATAGCAGCGAAATAATTTCTCCTGGCTTGGTGCGTCCCGTGGCGTCCGTGGCTTAGGCATTGCAAGTCCGACTCATAATTCCAACGTATCTCGATCGAAACACACTGCTGGCAGTGTGGATTTTTATCGTGGGTATAAGGCTTCGCCAAACTACTGGACGTGAATTTGCCTAGAAGAACCACACAACAATAGTCGGCTCTGTGGCTAATTCGATGCGAACGCTTCGTAATGCCGGGATGCCGGGTTCGATCCCAGCTGCGGGCCATGCGCCTCGCGTTGGTTTCGACAGTGGTATCAAGAAAGCCGAACGTCCAGAGAGCAATGTCATACTACTGAATGTAAATTTGCCTAGAAAAACCACACAACAGCCAGGGGCTGTTGGGGTTGGTTCTGTAACGTCCTGTAAAGGATACGCAACTAACCTAGAGGGCTTCGCAGGTCGACCCAGCCTAAAATGGGTACCACGATGGGTATCCTGGGGAGGTAACGAGCCCCGGCGTAATGCTGACCACATTCCCCACCCAGTGCCGAGTGGTCTGTATAAATATGGGTGCTCTTCCCGTGTTCCCGATGCGCCTAAGGGCGTGAAAATGGATCTTTACTGGACTTGGCTTGATTTGACTTGACTTAACTTTACTTTACTTGGGGGGGGGGGGGGTCACGGGTATCAAAAGTGTGAAGAACACTGCTTTACAGTATGTTGCAGAACCAGCTCCAGCATATCGGGTTTTGTTTTTTCTTTGAGATTTCAATGCCAATGTTACTTTCAGTAGTTTGCCATTGCTTTACTGAAAAATCTGATCTCGATACTACCGTCGAAACCAACACAAGACGGTCTGCTGCCGAATCGCCCGCAGCTGAGATCGATCCGGGCACCCAGGAATTATGAAGCATTTGGACAAGGCCTAAGCCAAAGGCGCCGAGAATGTAACTGACCACTAGATCTTCTGGCAGGTAAAACCCCCAGGGAACAGTTACTGGTCAGTGGCACCAGCTCCGGACAAAAGAAAACCTGAACTGATAACACAACAGAATGGACCGAGGCGTCACCGCCGCACTTGCCGGTGTGACTGAAGACTGACGGCAGGGGATCTCTTTGACCACAGCCACAACCATCATGGCACTCCTTTAATACCCAGTCAGGTTTTCTGAGTGAAGAAGATTTCTTGGTAACAGAATCGGAGTCTTAGTTTCAGCTTCGTAACAAACGGGTCACCCCATCTTTGCTCCACTCCTGTGCCAACTATAAACACACATAATGTTTATAACTGTCCCTTGTGAAAAGATTGACAGACTGCTGTCACAGCATATCCAGCATACACTCACATTAAAGCATACGGTAGCCATCCGAAGTGCTAACACAAACAGTCCGACATTAGAAATGCAGTTCATCAATAATGGTAGCAGAAGTCACCAACAGATCAGCAGTTGCCCACGCGATCAATTTTAATCACATACGGGCACCACCAACGATGCACGACAAGCATCGCGCCATTTACTGAATCTACAATTTACACACCAAGACGTTGGTCACAGTCGAAAAAAAAAACATTCCAAAAAAAATCTGCAGCTCACAGTGTCACGCCATAATTTCAACTCAGAAGCTGTGCGACGAAACTATATTCAGTCTACACATGGAGTAAAAATGCATCGGCCACCGTCCGGCAAAAGCAAAAAATGTGCCTTGGCTCCGAACGGTGGCCCTGTAGGCGTCCATTTTGACCGGTTTTTTTTTAAAGCCCTACGTGTGTCCATTTTACAGTCCTTATTTAGGTTTTGGTTGAAACGACGGATCAACATCATGCCACAAGGGTAGTAACCCATAAGTGCTCTGTTCTACTTCTGACTCAAGCCTGAGTCCGAAGGTTCTCAGCGCAGTGCACGAACTCTGTGGCATCGGCGAGGATCCTGAAATACTTTGAGTAGATTTTAAACTCCGAGTTCTGCAACGTCCTGTAAAGGATACGGTACTAACAAGTCTTAATGAAAAGAGCTTCAAATTTATTTTTTGACACTCCTGAAATTGAGCCGAGGTAGCCAAATGGATACAAAGCGCACTCACTTGGCTGCTGTTTACTTCCTGCCTCCACCCCCACTAATCGCCACTCAGTGGATGGATGATGCGATCAGTGTAACGATTGTCGTCTCTAAAACTGAGACTTGCATTGTCTTTACACAGGACTACAGGTTACAGCTGGTTGGTGCACGTTACCCAAGGCTTTCTCCAGTTACTGGTTTTTTAGTTCTGTCTCCAGTTACTGGTTCTGTCTCTAGTTCATGCTTCTTTAGTTCTGTCTCCAGTTACTGGTTCTGTCTCTAGTTCATGCTTCTTTAGTTCTGTCTCCAGTTACTGGTTCTGTCTCTAGTTCATGCTTCTTTAGTTCTGTCTCCAGTTACTGGTTCTGTCTCTAGTTCATGCTTCTTTAGTTCTGTCTCCAGTTACTGGTTCTGTCTCTAGTTCATGCTTCTTTAGTTCTGTCTCTAGTTACTGGTTCTGTCTCTAGTGTATGCTTCTTTAATTCTGTCTCCAGTTACTGGCTCTGTCTCTAGTTCATGCTTCTTTAGTTCTGTCTCCAGTTACTGGTTCTGTCTCTAGTTCATGCTTCTTTAGTTCTGTCTCTAGTTAATGGTTCTTTAGTTCTGTCTCCAGTTCATGCTTCTTTAGTTCTGTCTCCAGCTACTTGTTCTGTCTCCCGTGACGGATTCTTTAGTTCTTTTTCCATCTACTGATTCTTTAGTTCTGTTTCCAGTTACTGATTCTTTAGTTCTGTTTTCAGTTACTGGATTCTTTATTTCTTTTTTCACTTACTGATTCTTTAGTTCTTTTTCCAATTACTGACTCTTTAGTTCTGTCTCCAGTTACTGATTCTTTAATTATGTCTCCAGTTACGGATTCTTTAGTTATGTCTCCAGTTGCTGATTCTATAGTTATGTCTCCAATTACTGATTCTTTAATTTTGTCTCTAATTATTGGTTCTTAATTTCTGTCTCCAGTTACTGATTCTTTAGTTCTGTCTCCAGTTACTGATTCTTTAGTTTTTTTTTCCAGTTACTGATTCTTTAGTTCTGTCTCCCGTTACTGATTCTTTAGCTCTATCTCTAGTAACTGGTTCTTTACTTCTGTCTCCAGTTACTGATTTTTTTAGTTTTGTCTCCAGTTACTGATTCTTTAGCTTTGTCTCCAGTTACTGATTCTTTAGTTATGTTTCCAGTTACTGATACTTTAGTTCTGTCTCCAGTTATTGATTCTTTAGTTATGTCTCCAGTTACTGATTCTTTAGTGCTTTCTCCAGTTACTAATTATTTAGCCCTTTCTCCAGTTACTGGAGAAAGCCTCGCGTGACGGGTCCTAATTATAACTTCTTTGGAAGGTGATCGAGGTATTTGTGATCTGCTTTTTTAGTTAAGTCGTCTAGAATCAGATTTGTCAGTCTCATGCTAGTATGGTAAAGCTTTAGGGAGCAGTTCGGACGGGGAAACCTGTCCGATCGATCGACATCTTCCGTGATATCGATTTGAAGTTTTGTTGACCTGGGAGCTTAGGTCATTAAAAAATAATTTGCTTCAAAGCAGATTTGAACCCAAAACCGCATGCAATAGTGGGACCTAGCCTGCACGCTCTCGTGGGACGTAGGAGGGTTGGTGTTAGGCCCAGTTTTAGATGATATGGTGTAATTAAAAGCATCAGAAAGCCGAGAAACTCGCGCTTACCACCCTCGAAAAAATTGGACTACGTCATCCAGTAAAGGAGGAGGGGGGGGGGTATTGGGAAAGCTCCATTTAAGTAAGTTAGGATGACCCTTTGGGGCCCCTGGGGCATATGGTGCTAGTCCTATGTTGGTATTGACCAAATAGTTTGAACAATTAATGTTGTTGTCACACATGATATCCATTTTGCTTACATCGAAGGGCAGGGGGTATCTCAACGTAGTAAATGTAAGAAAATTTGTCTGGATGCAAGTTTGAATTTTGCTGGAGAAGTTTGAAGATTTAAAATACTGGTTCTTTATCAATATCCTACCCCCGATAACGTCACAGGACAGTCCAACATTTTAGAGGTGGGAAGACTTGTTTCCCCGCTTTCTGATGCTTTTAACGACCCAAAAACACATAGAACTGGCCCTAACCTCAACCCACCTACGTCCCACGAGAGAGTGCAGCCTAGGTCCCACGACTGCATGCAACCTATCTACCACCCTTGAAATATTAGACTGCTCCGTGACCTGTGGATTTTCTCTGTTTTGAGTAGAATAATAATAAAGGACCAAAATATTTAATTTCACACTTAATGTATTTTTTCCTCCCTATGTTTTGGATTCAGAATATTTCACTCACCGTCATTTGCTATGTATATTTTTCTTTTTCTCTTCCACCTCCTCCTCTTCTTCTTCTTCTTCCTCCTCCCCCTCCTCCCCGTCCTTCTTCTCTTCCTTCTCATCCACCTTCTTCGGCCGAAAAATGATTTACATGTGTTCTTTTACAAAGGGAATTGCAATATTCTCACCTTTCAGTCGAAACATTCTTGTCGTTTATGAAGGCCAGGAGGGGGGTCGAGTTTCATTGTCCTCCTGGGTCGTCTCTTTCATTCATTCTAGCCACACTTCAACCTGTTTCCGGGACACAAACATGAGTGTCAGCCAGTGGGCTTTGATATTTGTTTCTACGAAGCTGAGGCAAGAAGTCAAGCTTTGTGACACTAACGACATTCATCTTGTTTTGGCCGTTTGGTCTCGGAAATTTGTTTGAACAGAACATCGGTAATTTCCGTAGTAATGGTTAACAATAATACGTTGCTTAATAACTGTTCCTATTGTCTCTAATGTAGTTCTTCTTCTTCTTCCCTTCTTCTTCTTCTTCTTTTCTTCTTCTTCTTCTTCTTCTTCTTCTTCTTCTTCTTCTTCTTCTTCTTCTTCTTCTTTTTCTTCTTCTTCTTCTTCTTCTTCTTCTTCTTCTTCTCTTTCTTCTTCTTCTTCTTCTTCTTCTTCTTCTTCTTCTTCTCTTCTTTCTTCTTCTTCTTTCTTCTTCTTCTTCTTCTTCTTTCTTCTTCTTCTCTGCTCTTCTTTCTTCTTCTTCTTCTTCTTCTTCTTTTCTTTTTTTTCTTCTTTCTTTTTCTTTTTCTTCTTCTTCTTCTTCTTCTTCTTCTTCTTCTTCTTCTTCTTCTTCTTCTTCTTCTTCTTCTTCTTCAAGAAGAACAAGAAGAACAAGAAGAACAAGAAGAACAAGGAGAACAAGAAGAATTGGGAGCTTCCTTCGAAGTTGGAGTGCATCTGCCTGAAAGGCAAGGAACCAACAGTTTGCATGCAAATGAGTCATATCTGTAAAACGGCTGCTCAACACTCAGGTTCTGAAACAGGCCTGCAGGCCAACAGTAGATGAATAATCAGAACTTTCTGCCAGAGTTTACAGCTGGTGAACGCGAAGAAAAAGAAAAAAATTCAACCTATTTAAACCCTCTGTATTTTGTCACCCAGCCAGACCCCTCCCTCCCCATCATACGGCCTATTGTTCCGTAAATTAACATTTCCTAATCTCCAATACGACTTTTTAATTGTTTATCAGTTGTCCGTTTGTCTGAGTCATACAACAGTGTTGCCTCAACGTATTAGTTGTCGTTCTGATTTCTAATGCCTTGTTTACCTTGATATACTTAAATATCTGTCTAATGGTATCGCAAGCTCCTGGACATGTGTGCTCGGTCAGGGGCCTTTTCGGGAGGGGGGGGGGGGGTGGGAGGAGATGAACCACCAAGCCATGGACAATGTGCAGAGTGATTCCCCTAACTATGTATAAAGGTTCTCTCTTCAAGTATTTGATTATATATTTCCTAATAATTCAAATCTAGTTTTATTTTTGGCACATTCAGCACATAATAACATTATTAATACTGCGCACGTAAGCAAGGCTTAGGACTCGAGCCCTGCCCCCTAAAATTATTTTGAAAAGGGGGGTGGGGAGGGGGCATCCTGGCATAATGTGCAGGAAAGAAGAACTACTCAATCGCTGGCTCCAACAACTGAATAAACATGTCTAGGGAAATACCCCGGGAAAATAGACTGGTCGGCTCTGTGGCTAAGTCGATGCGAACGCTTCGTAATTCCTGGGTGCCGGGTTCGATTCCAGCTGCGGGCCATGCGCCTTGTGTTGGTTTCGACGATGGTATCAGGGGGCCAACCGTCCAGTAAGCAATGGCAAACTACTGGACGTAAATTTGCCTAGAGAAACCACACAACCGCCAGGAGCTGTTGGGGTTGGTTCTGCAACGTCCTGTAAAGGATACGTAACTAACCTTATTGCTGAAGTGAGGAGTAAGAAGATCAGCAAAAGTCTTACTGTTTATACAGACATGCCGTGGGCTTAGTGTCTAACTGGGGTGTCCTCACTATCTTCTTTTTTTTTTTTTTTTATCCAGAAGCCATGAGTTCTTAACCCTCTGGCTGTGTACTGTAGATGTCACAACCCTTCGGCCTTGATTCCATGATAAATAGCGTAAATCTGGGAGAAATGTGAACCCGGACCACAAGGAGTTCGTCACCCAGTCGTCGCGAAGTCAGGTTTAGCCAACTACGCTAGCGAGCCGGGCATCCTCATTATCACCTTATTGCCTCCATGAAACCTAAACACAAAGATATTCCTTTACACGTTCATACACATTATCCAAGTGTAGTCTCAGGATAACAAAACCCCAACAAACGTTTATTTTAGTCAATTATATGTGATTTTAAAAGATGTATCTTTCTCTTTATATAAATATTCTTCACCAACTATTCATTTAATAAGAAAACATGTTAAAGTGCCGAATTTCATTATTATTTGTTACATTCTGTTCATTATGCTACCAACAGACGTTATTGTGGGAAATATATCCTAAGTTTTCATCATAGACCAACTATTTCAGTGCTGCCTGGGATTTTATGTCTTCAGATTTTTACATCATCATGACTTCATTTTCTCGTATTGTTCATCCAATTTTCTTGATATATTTCATACTTTTACGGGAAGGTCATCATTTCAGATTATAATATTACTTCATTCTGTTTCAGATGTTTAGTTTATCAGTTGTTGGATACTTCATATTCATGTATAGGATTGATACTTCTGACCTTATAAGTCTCAACATGGCGCTTTCAAAACATTCCGTTCTCATTCTTTAATCAACCTCTCCGATGTTTGACTTCTGCTGTCTTGCTCACAAATACGCTGCTAGTTTAGAGGTTGCTAAGGATGATGTTCTAATTTCTTAACCTAATCGTGGATTGGTTGATCAATGAAACTCACAAGTATACTATTCGTCATCCATGACTATGTTGTGATAGGATGTTTATAGAAGTCATTTATGTCTAAATAGATGGCTTAGATGATAAATAAGATTAGGAAAATACGGTCACGTCACGACAGTCTCTGAGGCGCACATTTGGTATTGAAAACCTCTGCGGCCATTCCTTTTGCAGTTTATGCTTAGTATTTTTCAAATTATACTCGCAACTATGCTGCAGTTAACCCCCATCTCACTTGCACACTCCTCTCTTCCAGTCACACATAGCGTGCACAGTTTGTGTCCTCGCCAAGCAACATCACAATACAGCCTATGCTCCGTCCTCCGTTCTTTAGCCAGACTTTGCGTCTGCCCAGGCCGCTCGGCTGTGGAGAGAAATAAGGCATAAACCCCGACTCTCAAATACATCAGCCCCTCGACACCCAGCTAGTTTTTAAAAACCGCGACGCTATAGGTTACTATTTTAAAACTTGTTCTTATCGATAAATGTCGTAGCAACGGCGAATCGCCAGCCTGCCGAGAGCATGGCCCAATGAACACTTTGAGAATCGCTGGGTTAAGTGTCTTCCGCTTGCATCACCCACGCTCGGGTCGGGCTCTCTCGCGCGCATTTCCTCTCAATTTCTGAATCTATAACACACGGGGTCCCCCGTTCATATCTCTCGTTGATTCGCCCGTTAACCTTTGCCCCCGCATAACTGGGTCTCTTTTTTTCCCTTTCTCCTGCAGCGTTACCCGCCGTTTCTCCACTGCATCATTACCTGGGATATTATTTTTTCATTGCCCGCGCTCATGGGAAAATCGGATCGGACAAAATTTCATGTTTTCCGCATTGTTTGCCCCCGTATCTCGGCGCTGCGATCAGCATCGTGTGAACCCCGAAAGCCGGAGACGGTCCGTAGCTTTAGGAGCTGAGTAGGCAAGAACACAGAACAAACCTTGCTTTTCAGCTCGGCCGTGCATTCAGCCCCCGCCAAACGTTAAGTGGCTTTCAACCTGTGCGGGGACATTGTCCGTATCAGTGGTGGCAACGACAAGCAAGGCTTTCCCATGAAGCAGGGTGTGCTGACCACCTCACGTGTCCGACTCTTGCTCAGAAAGGGCCACTCATGATACCGCCCTCGCCGTACAGGAGAACGTAAACGCAAATCTATCCGTGGCTGCATCGTAGATAGTACTCTGAGTGTGCTTGCCTTGGTTATCATCAAGAAAGGTGAGCAGGACATCCCAGGTCTCACTGACACCAACCATTCCCCGTCGTCAGGGCCCCAAGAGAGCCAGCAAGATCAGGAAGCTCTTTAACCTATCCAAGGAGGATGATGTCCGACAGTATGTGGTCAGGAGGCCATTGCCAGAGAAACAAGGTAAGAAGGCAAAAAAGCAAAGCCCCCAAGATCCAGCGCCTGGTGACTCCGGTTGTCCTGCAGCGAAAGCGCCACCGACTGGCTCTCAAGAAAAAGAGAGTGGTCAAGAAACGGGAAGATCACGCTGAATACCAGAAATTGCTGGCTGCGAGAATTAAGGAGGCCAAAGAATGCAAAGCAGAAAGGTAAAGGTCTTCCTCCAGGAGTAAAAGTGACTCTATTCGAGAGTCCACATCCAAGAAGTGATGTCTGACCTTGTGTTTCACATAGAAGACTAATAAACAAAAACTGGCTACTTGTTAAAAAAAATGAAAGTGTATTGATTGACACTCATAGAAAGAAGTAGAAAGGTAGAAGAACACACTAGACAACATAAAAATCGAAAGCTATAGTTACCGTGCCGGGAATTTAACCTGTCACCTCCAGACGGCATCTGCGCCATGGATACAAGTGCACTAAAAACATGGTCAACTAGGCACCCCCCCCCCCCCCAAAGGTGTCTTGTTAGCCATATCTATCGTACAGCTTGAAATCCACAACTATGGAATACGGACAGAATTCATTTCAAACCATTGAAATTGGCACCATAGGTTACAGAAATTTTTATTAACGAAGCATAGGTCGAATAACAAACACAGCAACAATTTACGAACGCGGTAGACCTTTATGCCTTGTCTAGAATACACAAACATTTAAGAAAGGTATTTGATTGGTTGGTTCCATATAACCGAACTGTTGAAAGGGGTTTCTTGGACTTGTACCCGGGTTGCACTCATCCGAATAGTGGCACCTTGTGTCACCGCTTGTTTATAGCTGTGGTGGCAGTTGCGGCTTAGGCGTTGCGAACGCGCTTCGTAATGCCGTAATGCCGGGCTCGATCCCAGCTGCAGACGATTTGTCTTGCGTTGGTTTCGACAGTGGTACCGAGAGCTGGCCATTCAGTTGCAATGGCAAACTACTGAACGTAAAATTTGCCTAGAAAAACGACAACATCCCAAAAATACTGGCGTTAATTCTGCAACGGCCTGTGAAGGATACGCAACTAACTTACATGTTGTATTTACATTTTAACGAGATGATCAAACTATTTTATCTTCTATGCCAAGCAACAAATTAGACAATATCTTGTTTGTGGGTTCGTTGCTAAATTCTACATTGTTAGCCTAAAAACACTTGGAGACAGACTCAGGAGAAGATCGGAGCATAAGTGGTCATTTGCGATGAAGTTGATCTTTAAAATGAACAATGTCAAATTCTGCAACAGGGAAACGTTGCTTTGAATATACTCGATTCCCTGTATGGGTTTCGGGGCCCTATTATAGGGAAAACAAGAATAGAGCCACTGCCTACCTAAAAGCATGTCGTAAGAGTCGACTAATTGGGAGCTTCCTTCGAAGTCGGAGTGCATCTGCCTGAGAGGCAAGGAACCAACAGTCTGCACACAAATGTGTCAGATCTGTAAAACGGATGCACACGCGACACTCAGGTTCTGGAACAGGACTGCAGTCCAGAAGTGGACGAACAACCAGAACTTTCTACCAGAGTTTACAGCTGTTGAAATCAAAGAAGAAGGAGAATATACTCGATGTCATTCTGGAAACAGGTTTTCTGCCGGGGCATGGCCGACGTAGACAGGATCACTGCTTCCTCCCAATTCAGGACTGATCTGCCTAAGAGGTGAGCAATCAACATTCTGCACACAAATAAGTCAGATTTGGAAAACGGTTGCAACACTGAAGTACTTGAACAAGATCAAGTATAGGAAATGATCTTCTTCTTCTTCTTCGCTTTAACCGGCTGAAAAAACCCGGGGGAAAGTTCTGGTTGTTCGTACACTTTTGGACTGCATCCTGTTCCAGAACCCGAGTGTTGCGTGTGCATCCGTTTGACATATTCTACTAATTTGTATGCAGACTATTGGTTCCTTGCCTCTCAGGCAGATGCACTACGACTTCAAAGGAAGCTCCCAAACGGTCGACTCTTACGACATGCTTTTGGGTAGGCAGTGGGTCTATTCTCGTTTTCCCTATAATAGGGCCCGGAAACCCACACAGGGCAGGAAATGATCTAACAAAAGGAACTTGCAGCTTACTGCTAGAAAAAATATGTATTTCCTTACAAAACATATTAACGAACAGACATATTGAGTATCACCATACGGTATGGACTATAACAACAAGAAGAATATGAATGTATGTAAACAAATAATACATCAGAAATGAAACTGAATACTTCAAAATAAAACTGATAATTTTGCAAGTAAACAAATATTATAAGGTAAACGCTAGAGATAAAAGACAGCGGCTGACGCTTGTCGGGCCATTTACCTTACCTTGAAATTCCAGCAGCCAAAACTGCCCAACAATCGCCTGGTCTTTTTTTTTTTTTTTAGGTCTTTATTCCGGGGAGGTAATCAGGCATGAACCGTTGGCATTGAAATACGTGGGCATGTCGTTATCTTGACGACGTACTGGGAGATTTCGTTCAAACCAAGCTGCTGCGGCTGCTGCTTGGTCGTCTACTTCTCTCTCGTTTTCTTCTTTTTGTGGCAGCAATGCACGTGGGATGATAGCATTAACAGACACAGAGTGTTATTATTGAATGTATTATCAATTTTGTATTGCGACGGCGCCCTTGTACAATACCCTGTGTGCACCTTTATACTGGTTGACCTCAGCATTTTGTTACAGAACCCATGTTGTCAAGATCTCGGGCAATGGACTCGGGAGTAAAGACGCGCTGTTGAGTACATTACCCATTGAATGCCGATAGGTCTTTAAAACTTTGAGTCTACCATCATTGTCGGACTCGAATGTCGATAGGTCTTTAAAACTTTGAGTCTACCATCATTGTCGGACTCGAATGTCGATAGGTCTTCAAAACTTTGAGTCTACCATCATTGTCGGACTCGAATGTCGATAGGTCTTTAAAACTTTAAGTCTACCATCATTGTCGGACTCGAATGTCGATAGGTCTTTGAAACTTTGAGTCTACCATCATTGTCGGGCTCGAATGCCGATAGGTCTTTAAAACTTTGAGTCTACCACGGATGTCGATAGGTCTTTAAAACCTTGAGTCTACCACCATTGTCGGACTCGAATGTCGATAGGTCTTTAAAACCTTGAGTCTACCATCATTGTCGGACTCGGATGTCGATAGGTCTTTAAAACCTTGAGTCTACCATCATTGTCGGACTCGAATGTCGATAGGTTTTTAAAACTTTGAGTCTACCATCATTGTCGGACTCGAATGTCGATAGGTCTTCAAAACTTTGAGTCTACCATCATTGTCGGACTCGACTGTCGATAGGTCTTTAAAACTTTAAGTCTACCATCATTGTCGGACTCGAATGTCGATAGGTCTTTGAAACTATGAGTCTACCATTATTGTCGGGCTCGAATGCCGATAGGTCTTTAAAACTTTGAGTCTACCACGGATGTCGATAGGTCTTTAAAAACTTGAGTCTACCACCATTGTCGGGCTCGGATGTCGATAGGTCTTAAAAACTTTGAGTCTACCATCATTGTCGGACTCGGATGTCGATAGGTCTTTAAAACCTTGAGTCTACCATCATTGTCGGACTCGAATGTCGATAGGTTTTTAAAACTTTGAGTCTACCATCATTGTCGGACTCGAATGTCGATAGGTCTTCAAAACTTTGAGTCTACCATCATTGTCGGACTCGAATGTCGTTAGGTCTTTAAAACTTTGAGTCTACCACGGATGTCGATAGGTCTTTAAAAACTTGAGTCTACCACCATTGTCGGGCTCGGATGTCGATAGGTCTTAAAAACTTTGAGTCTACCATCATTGTCGGACTCGGATGTCGATAGGTCTTTAAAACCTTGAGTCTACCATCATTGTCGGACTCGAATGTCGATAGGTTTTTAAAACTTTGAGTCTACCATCATTGTCGGACTCGAATGTCGATAGGTCTTCAAAACTTTAAGTCTACCATCATTGTCGGGCTCGGATGTCGATAGGTCTTAAAAACTTTGAGTCTACCATCATTGTCGGACTCGGATGCCCAACTGGCACGAAAAGTGTAGTTAACTTATTCCGTTTCCTACTAGATTATCAGAAGTAGCCAGCTTCAGGCCTCAGAAATGAGGTATCTAAGAAAGTTGGTTAAAGTGACAAGAAGGAACAAAGTTCGCAGTCAGACAATACGTAAGGGTCTTGAAACCCAGGCATTAGAAACCTGAGCGAATCAGTCACAGTTACGATGGTTTGGACATGTATGCAGAATGGGAGAAAATCGGCCACCATGGCAGGCATGGGAGGCTAAGAACCAGGGAACCAGACCTCCAGGATTACCCAGGGTCCGCTGGAAAGACAACAACGACAGTCCCCACCTAATAGAGGACTTGAATGGAACAAAACCAAAAAGAAAACTGCTGATAGAGACGTCTGACTATCTCTTTGGCAAACCTCTACACCCTAAGGTAGAAGAGGAGAGACTAAGTAAGTATTATATACTATAGACTATAAAGCATCGAAGTATATTTTTCCAATATGTGTTTATCCTACTATTTCTATGGTCTTCAAGTTTCCCCACCTATTTATATCTAAGAACGAAACTGTAACGTTTCGGTTCAAAAACCTCGATTTTCTTCTTCAGTGATTACGACACGGTCTGTAACTCATGAGGCAACTGATTCAACAGAAGCGGACGGATAAACGATGTATGTGAGTTTTCAAAAAGCAAATTAATGTTTTTTTTTCCCTTCAGAATCGCCCAACCCGTTTTTGTAATTACAGTTGTGTTCACAGAGCCGTAAAGTCTTCAACAGGCGCCATTGACACAGGCAAACTGAGAAAAGGCGGGTCTTTACGAAGGAAATACAAGACTTGGCCCGGCAATACAAACTTCATGTGTCAAAATATACACCCACGCAAGCAACGAAACAAAACATAAAAATATATCTGGACAAGTTTTTAGTTATTCTATTCCTGAAAGAGGTATATAATTAAAATTGTTTCGTACACAAAACTGGGAGTTGTAGGAGCAATCCTTGTAGCTTTGATTGTAAGGAAGAGTTTGTTGTTCCGAATCTCAGGAAAGAATTGAGAAATAATTGAACTAGCCTTTCTTCCTTTCTTTGTGCTGTTCCTTTCTTTGCTTCTTCTGTGGGAAAGACTAGCAAAAACAAGACCCCGTGGATTCGTTTTGTTCGCCCATGTTCAAC